CATTGAGACTGTACGGTCAAATGAAAGTTTTCCCTCATCTCTCACGACCTTGCAGAACAGATTTCAAGATGCAGAACAATCTTGAAAGGCTGCAAATACACCATGAAAATCAGCTACTCACTGAACCTTTCATCAAGACCATGACACACACTCTCTGGATCATAAAAAATGGTCTAATCTCTAGGTTACTCTCACATTCTTCTATGGAGAGGAATGTAAAAAGGAAACAAAAATCCACATATACCAACACACCTAGTGCAACACTGTCCTCTTTGGTCCTTCTTCATGTGAAATCATTCAGATGTGCTTGAATGATCAATCAGAGTTCAGAACAAAAAAGAATCACACTAAAGAGGAAAATTTCCTCTGAAAAATGAGTGACATTAGGGAAATTGCACATGACAATGCAAATTGATCAGTGGCATGACCAAGGCTATCAGCTGCAATTCACGTCAAAGGAGACACCAGCTGACAGGAATGCTCTTCTGGGGAATCTCCATTATGAGGCAAATCATGCCCCACTTCCATCCCCACTCAATGGCCTAAGTAGTTCAGAGATGCCAAAACATCTCATTATAGGCTGAAGACTATCCTGACATGATTATTCATAGGCCATTTCATAATTTTTTTCCCATCTGTGAAAAAGAAAGCTTGAGGCAATGATCACTGTACAGTACACAGCTCATAATGATCAGTCTCCTGCAAGCAGGATACAAATAATCTCAAAGGACCTAAAATTACTTCCCTTCTAATCTCAGACCTGAGGACTGTCTGGAACTATTTTTCTTGGTTATATAGAGTCAATTTTCCTAATAACAGGAAAGGTATATGGATATACTTCCTATATTCTCTTCCCATGAGCCAGCAAGCGTTTCCCTTTTACTGTGCAGTGAGTTAACAGCTTTAGCTCCTGGAATTTTCCAAGGAAAAATGACCAATTTTCAATGGCCAGGAGAATGAAAATTCATTCCACTGCAGGGGAATCCATTAAGGCATTCTGTACGAGCCACATTATGATGCAATATTTAAAGAGGGGATACACTACAAAAACACCAGGAAGATCTCTCCCTTATGTTTCCTTAACTTAAATATAAATAATACTGATGTATATGGCATTAGAAAAAAGTACTGTCTATTTAGACACGTACATATTTTCCTACCCATACTCATCAGCAAAATCAATGAGCAACTCAGCTTCCACATCCCAGTTCTTTCAAAGTGGATTAATACACCCAGGTTGCCAACTCATGAATAAGCCAGGTATCCAAATTCTGTTGTGGGAAGATGAGTATGTCTAAACTTTAAGTTATGCACAAATGAACAATTCAGTACTTATAGCACAAGCTACCAGCCTCAAAGGCTGAGTCAACATCAGAAATCAAGTGATGCATGCAATGAGATGAGAGTGAATGTAGCATGTCATAGGCAAGACCATACATTGGCTCAATGTGAAATTGAAGAACTGAATCAAGCCTAACTCAACTTTGGCAATTTCATATTTCTTTTGAATTAACACAAGTCAAGAAGCAGCAAATGAGTTGAAGTGGAAGATGACTAGGCTTGGCTCTATTTCTACTGGCTTTGTGCTATGTTGAAACAAGAGTGACCAAACCTCCGGCCAGAGTTAATAGAACAGGGGGGAGGTATAGGAGCTACCCAATGGAAATGCCAAAGCCCATGATGCTTGCAATGATGATGCTGCCATACATAGTGTCTGGGCTTTTTGCAAATAAGTAAACAGTGTAGTGGAGCATTTCACATCGAGCAGATAACGGGAACATTTAGAAGCTATAATAATCTAGAGCCTAGCATTCATCTGTGGAATCACACAATATGGGATTCCAAAGGAAAAATGAAGACCTGATCCATTAGGCAGTGAAAAAGTATGGAAATAAAGGCTGCAAAGATAAGTGTATCAATATGTTCAAGAGCAGGCACAAAGGCCTAGGTCTAATTGGCAGTGCCCTCATAGGAACAGGATTAGTTTAGTTGCAGATGGCCTGACAGGATGAAACATGACAGCCAGAATTGCAAAAAATATTTCATGAGCATGGACTCTGGCTGAGTCAGACTACTCTTATTTAGGTTGTGTTTGCTCAGACAAAAATAGCTCTTTGGCCTATTCATTTCCCATAGAAAAAAAAAAAACAAAAAGAAAAATTAAGACTTGTGTCCCAGATCTTCCTTCGATGAAATAATGGTTCAAAAACTATGATCGCCTTACGGTAGGCCTAGGCCTAGCCCTAGCCTCAAGGCCCCTTTTTTTTTAAAGAGGCGATTGTGTAATTCATATTGTACCAGTTCCTGTAATACAAAAGCAAACAGCGCAGGATAAGAATGGTCTCGGACGAACTTCCGGGTAAGCTGATTGGCTAAGTTATCAAAATTCCTGAGCGACGATCCAGATATACTAACGTTAGACACTTTGACCTAGATGCATTCCCCTAACGTTCAGTCTACGAGCAAATTCCGTCAGAAACCATCACAAACACCTGTTGGGGCATGAATTACTTACTCTGCTTCGAAAGTAGTCTTCAAGGGCTCGAGATGCAGAATCGGTGAGTTTGACGAACACAACAGACTTGTTCCCGGAATTTCCTGGCGAAGACAGGACATACTGATATCCTTCCAACAACGCCGCCATTTCCAAACTGCCTACGAAATCAAAACAGCTGGAACGACAACTGGTTCCTGCGGAGCGACACCAAGCGGAGGACGCGGGAATCCGCTTCTCCCGCCTCCCGTGTTGCCGATGCGTCCTATCAAACCGCGAGACGAATCTCATTTGCATCTCATGTACATCGAGATACAACTGACTAAGAAATTTTCCCCGTTTCAGATAACAATGCTCGCAACTTGCACCGAGAAGGATGGAGAGGATATTGTAAGTATTATGCGCGATTGCACCATTCCCTCCGTTCTTCGTACGGGACCTAATAGCCGAAGAGGGCAGCACTTATCAGGTTGTTGCGGTCCACGTGAGATCCCGTTTAGTCTCACGTGCCACTGCTCTTTACCTTTGCATGTTCAGTTCTCGATAGCAGATCAAGTTGTAAACGTGTTGGCGGAGTGCGGGGACCTACTGACCCTGTCTTTTAATTAAGTTAGAAACTTTTAAATGTCAATTAGCTTCAATTAAAGTTGTCCCGAATGTGGAACTGTCGTTGGTCTAACGTTAAGGCCTAACGTTTGGCCCAAGAGAAATCCGGTTTTATGAAATTTTCTTAAGCAACTAATGACTCCCTCTCCATTTGAGGGCCTGGTTCTCAACGTAGTATATGTAGCAAAACATGATAGTTCTTAATACTTTCTTGGCATCGGTCATCGGTTAAATGATTCACTTCACTTGCTATTGTATAGGAACAGATGCTTTTTAAAGGTTATTGGAATGCTTCCAGCTCTTGCATCATGTGGAAGGTTCTCGTGTGCACCACCGTTCTGAGCAAGTAGTGGGACTGGCTCAATACTGTCTCAGTGGTAATAGTATGACTCTGTGCTGTATTGACTCATTTCTAAACATGGCTTCCAATTGCTCACACTTTGTCATGATGACAACATGGTAGTGTACTCAACCTGGTCTCTATAGACATTGATATTTTGCATTTTGGGTGTAATGGTAAATATTGGTGAGCATAGTCAATGATGGTATGAGGGTTTGATCATGACCTTGTGTGAGTTATTTCAATACAGTGGATCTTGATTGTACATTTTTGAATTTGCTTGATACTTATTAATTATTGAGTTCTGGTCAGGGTTGTGTGACTTTAAGTCCAAAAACTTGGAAGTGAATCTAAAAATTTACCAGGTCAAATGAAATTCATACTATGATTGGAGGAAGCCTCTCTCATGTGAGTTGGATAAGTCAGAAAGGGAGCAGTAATCATTATATGGATGTGAGAGAATACAGCCCTTACCCATGCTAAAATTGGCAATGTGTTGATTTTTTTTAAGGTAAAATTTTTAGTGTATCTGATCATTTGGAATCCAGAGAAAGTATGGCTATTATTATATGTTTTAAGAACACCTCCCTGTGTACACCTCCCTTAACCCTCATCCAGGCAAGGGGAGTCCATTGGACTCCTCTGTGTATATTTCATTGCATTAATCTCGGGCAATTTTTCAGACATCTTTTTGCAAATATAATGGGTCTTTCATAGACAGTTATCCATAGATCCAAACCAAAAATTTTAAAGCTTTGCCTCTAAGGAAATTAATTCTTACCATGTTTGCCCTTGCCTGTTTGTGTCACAAATATACCTTTCCTGGATGGGGGTTAAAACCCAGTCTTCACCTCGTAAACACGAAGTCCTAGGTGGATGCAGTTATTCACATCAGCTCTGCTGATTTGAATCCATTTAACTTTGACTGCCTTTAAACCTTTTCATTTCACTAGGTAAAAGTTTCATTTTTTTAAGTCAACTGAATTGCAAGATGTAGCTTTGGATTATTATTTCTTTCTTCACGTCTTGCTTGCACTTGCCTGCCATTGTGCTATTGAAGAAAGATGCAATTTTGTTTCTGATTGCCAATTAGGCAGTAGTGGTAGAGCGTAATATATTACCACGTGCTTGGCACTTAATCAAGCTTAATAGTTTTTCCAAGTCTTACATTGCAGTAGCCACTTTGAATGAGCTCATGGTTCAATGCAAGAGTAAGTTTGGCCTTCATGAATCTCTGTCTTCTGAAAGGGTTTTAAGGAGGAAGAGCTTTTTGTTTCATGCTTAATTAGCCAGAATTTGTGATAACAAGTCCCACTCTTTTTTAATTATGGATTTTGGGAAAGTAAAACCCACACAAAAAAGACATTACTGCAATTAACTAGGTTTTGTTGAAACTAATTTCTCAAGGATGAGTACATTATTATATTTTATATAAAATTGCATTTTCTGGAATGATTGAGTCCTAGGCCAGCCTCCCAGGATTAGACCTTTGCCTCTGCTAATGCTACCAGATGTTTGTGTTCAGTGTGTTATTGTTAGTCACAATGCTGTCTCTTGAAATGTAGGTGAAGTTGGATGCACCAGGAAAAGTAGGCTGAGAGTACCTACTCTGGCAGCTGTGTTGACTTTCTGGAAAAATGCTTGAAGCTGGGATAGTTGGGGCTGTCATTTCGGTGACCCTCATCCTACCAATCCTAATTGTCTTCCTCATATTTGGGTTGCTCATTTTTATATTGGGTTTTTACCTATCAAAGCCTTCACCAAGCATGGATTTCTCCACATTAAGGAGAAAGCATGTCATGGTTAGTCATCTCCATATTTCTGTCTTTTTTTTTTTATCCTTCACTTCCTTTTACCAATGTTTCTTGTGTAGATCACAGGTGGATCCAGTGGCATCGGGAGGAGCCTTGCCCTACGAGCAGCAAGAATGAGTGCTAACATTAGCCTGATTGCCAGGGACCTGAGGAAACTTGAAGACACAGTGGAGGAAGTGAAGAAGAACATGCAGAATCCATTAGAACAAAGGGTTTACGTCATATCAGGTAGGAGGTGAAAATCATTGCTAATACTGTGTTGCAGGACCCCTTGAAGTGCAATTAGGAGGATTATGTGAACATAGCACATTTCTTTAAGAAGCTGAATCATGCCAGTGTAAATATTGCACTGTCATGTTAAACTGTATCTCCGTTTTCTTGTCTTAGTATCGCAAAGCTAAACTGCTTGAGAAGCAAAAACAAAAGAACACAGAGTATGTATGCTTAGATTATTTGAAGCTTTGCTTAAAATTTTTACCTTCCATGAATGAAATTTACCACATCTTGAACTATTCTGCATACAGCATTACACTTGCTCTACTGGCTCAAATGGTGATTCACATTCAGCTGTCATTGAGGGAGATCTTGATTTCATTTACAAATGTGTAGAAACAAAAAAAGGAGTAAAGAAGTAGTCGACATGTGACAGTCAGGCAGAAGAAAGGAAAGAGAATGATTTCTGAATATATTCTCTGTGTGATGTGCAAGAGAAAGCTTCAACAATCTGAGGGTAGGGAAACCTATCATAATTGCTCTGAAGAAGGAAATAGTATTTTTTCTCCTCAACCTTCATGAAATCATACTTTTTGGGAACCTTTTTTCAAACCACATGGTGCAAAGTATGGGATAACAAAGCTGTTGTACTTTAATTGTTGTGGAATACAATAAGAGCCAGGTATGTATGAACTTCACTCTTTGAAGAAAGTATTAATATAAATTTGAGGTTATTATTTCCTTAATTGATATGAATGCTATTTTCACCTCCTTGTAGCTGATGTGTCAAGCGATTGGGAAGGGCTGAAGGAGAAACTGAAGGCAGCTGAGAATGAGCTGGGCCCCGTTTCCTATCTCATCAACTGTGCTGGCTTTTGCATCAGTCGGGTCTTTGAGGACCTCAGGGAGAAGGATTTTAGGGTAGCTGTGGCCTCTGATGTTTCCCTTTCACTCTTTTCAGCTTGATCTGTAATCTGATGGCTGCAATATGTTGTGTGCAGAGTATGATGGATGTGAACTTCATGGGGTCAGTCGCAGTCACCAGGGCAGTGATTGAGGGAATGAAGGAGAAGCGTGAGGGGCACATTGTGTTTCTCTCCTCGCTCGCAGGGGTTTTTGGGATGTATGGCTTTACTGGGTACTCTCCATCCAAGTTTGCTTTGAAAGGCTTTGCAGAAGCCCTTGCCATGGAAGTGAGCTCTTTTCTTTGCATCTGTTTGTTCACCTGAAGTTTCCTCTTTTTTTTTTAATATTTAAAAAATTATTATTAAACTCATCTTGAACAGGTGAAGCCATGGGACATTCATGTGACACTGGCCATGCCTCCTGACACTGACACTCCTGGGTTTGCTCAAGAGGAGATGGGGAAGCCTGAAATAACAAAGAAGATCTCTGGAACAGTGGATCTAAAGCCGTGTGATGAAGTGGCTGAGGCAATTTTCAAGGACATCTTGGTGAGAAATGCCATGATAAATAGTTAAGAACCTTGGGTTCAACAGTGATTTGAGATCTTATTGACGATTTTGAGGGCCTAAAAAAAAGTATCATTGCAATTGCTAGTTTTCACGGTAAACCAATTTAATTACCTTGACAATTAATCCTTTTAGCAGTATGAACATACATGTTTCCAAAACGCATACATTGATGAAAGCATATGCTTTGAAAAGGATGCTTTACTTGTCATTGTGTTGGATAGCTCAACAGATTAACCAAGGTATCTAAGGTGCCCTTTTGGATGTCATTTGCCAGTCTAGAAGTAATATTTGAAGAAGGTACTCAGGATCTTTGTTTTGGGACTCACAAGGGTTGAAAAAAAGGCACAAATGCTGCAGAAAAAAAAAGTAAAGCCTTTTCCTTTTTCAAATGCATAACCTGTTTTATGGAAATAGTGTGGTTTGCCTGACAGGAAGCAGATATGTGTGAATATGATTAGACAATGGGGGAAGACATCCCCTGTTGGATATGTGTTGTAGCTACTTTAGCTTTCTGAGAATGGATGAGTCTTACATAAGATGTCTCCTCTGGAGCATGTTGATGGGATGTGTCATGATGATCTAGCCCATATGTCAAATCTTGTCAAACAAAAATGTACTCTGCAATGCTTCACTTTATGCCTACCCCCACCTAGAACAAAGTAATCTGTGTCTCTTTCCTGGCACCATTACTGTCTGCTCGCAGCTCATTCCTTTTTAATTAGATCACTATGCACTCCATTCCCTGTCACTGGATGTCTACTCCCCAAAGTGCAATCTCTTGACAGCATCATTCTAAACTTTTTCCATGTTGCATTTGTGTTTCTCTTACTGCCTATTAATTTAATTCCTTGGTTGGGCTTTTGCTTTTAACAGTAATTGTTTTTTTCTGATTCATATTAGGTAACTGTGCCCAGAAATTAGGGCAATTTTACACTGTCAAGGGGAAACCATCATGGATCTGGCTCATGCATGGTGAAATTTTTCATCTGATGTAAAATTTAGAAACCTCAATATTTCCCATTACCCCTTTCATGGGGGATGTGGGCTCCCATTGATTTTAACTCTGGTTTTATAGAGACAAGGTTGTGCAATGATAGAGTGTAATGAAGTGTCTTGTTTCATTGGTTTGTGGAAGATTTCATCAGATCAGGGAAACACATTTCAGTCATGTAAGTTGACATAGCAAAAGCCAAAGGTTAATTGACACTGATGAAGTTATTCATGGGCATCCATACTTTGAGCACTGTTGTTATGTTGTATCAACAACCTCGAGTTGGCAAAGCATCATTATTTACCGATCAGTATTGGTTATGTTGGATGCTTCGTGGATATCTGTTCATTGGGTGCAGGAATAAATTTTCTCATTGGTTATATCCCTTCCATTGATGAAATTCATTGATGCATGTAGGCCAGGAGATTTCTCAGCACGTGCGGGTCGCTCCTCGGAGAAGCGCTGACTTCCGTCGCCGTGGGCATGAGTCCGAAGGACGGCCCCGTGCGTCTCCTGGGCCAGGTGACGACCCGATTCGTCCGTGCACCTCATCAGGAGAGGGATTTATGATATCGAGTGCCTCTCTGTTCAGGTGTTCGGCCTCGGACCCTTGAGGATCGTCACGGTGGCAATATTGCATCACTTCGATCGCCTCGTCGCGAGGGGACTCGAGGAAGCCGGAACCCCGTCGGCGCAGCCGGGATCCTCTCCCGTTCTCCGGCCTTCTTGATGTTTCTCGCCTTTCTGCTTCACTCGTGACGAGGTCACGTCGTTCGGTCGTCCGAGCGGGTATTAACGAGGGTCTTGGGGACTGGTGGAGGTCGTCACCACTTGGTCATCGGCTTCCTGGTGCGGTGCTGGAAAAACTTGCCCGTTCATATATTCACCACACTGGGATTGGAGAAGATTTGGATGAATTTTTTCCATGGAGGCAATCCTGTTTTTGTCCTTTTCCAATTTGCTACGTGATCTGTCTGTGATTGGAGCCGTATGCTTGGGTAATGTAAACCCTTATAACTCCCAGTACCAGGAAGTTTTTCCATCCATGCTCCTGCATGGGTCAGGGTCATATACCTCACTGTGATAATCATGCAACACATAATCTTTTTTTTTTCATTGAGTTAAATTTGATGTATTTTCCTCCCCCCTTTTTTCTTCTTTTGTTGCACATTATGCAAGTTAATTTTTTCATGAGTCACTGTATATTTATTACAGTCCATATATAAGAGGTGTTCAGGATAAAGTCACAATGAATTTGCAACTCATGCCTGATTTTCTCCTAATCAGAAATAGAGGAAGTTACTGTTGTAGAAAATCTCCCTCGTGATAGCCGAGATGGAGGTGCATCTCAGCATTGTAGGGATTATATCATTATGAAAAGTTGCTTTACTGACAGGCCGAGACCACGTAAGAGCAACACACGACAGCTTTTCGAGTCCTTGTTTTCTCAGCTGCGTTCGCCATTGCTGTCATCGAGAAGCTCTTCGTTTTAACGGTGTCTTCTCCTTCATCTCGAAAATGGAAATTCCCCCGTCTCTGTTCCCGTTCTTAGACCCCGATGCAAATTTGCAACGATTGCGTTGAGGCTTGAGAGTGGGGGAATGCCCCGCTGTAAACTCTCATTTTAGACTCATCGTCCGGTCGTTGAGATTTTATTCAGTGGGCAGTGGATGGCCTCGATCGTGTCGTGTCGATTCCGGTCGTGACCGACGGATCCTCGAGTTGCAGAGCGCATTGCAACATTTTGGCAAAAGCCTCGGAAAAGCTTTTACGGACATTCCAGAATTCGGCGTGCCGGCTCGAAACTCGCGTCGCCTGCCGACCCTGCCCGTGCATCGAAGTACCGCAACAAGTACTAATCGCTTCTCGGAAACGACAAGTTCGACCCCAAAACCTCGAGATCGCGTCGCGGAGATCGTCAACGCGGCGAATATATTTTCCCGTGGCTCTTGATGAATCGAGCTCGTTTTCGAGACGTGGCAAAATTTTGCACACATCCACCGCGAAGGACCTCTTCGCAAAGAAACAGGTGCGAAGAAGGAGCATCGGAAAAAGAGTTGAACGGCCCCCCTTCTCTCCCTCCCCCTCGCCCCTCCTTCCCTTCCTCCCC